CCCGGACCCAATATCTGTCCCATCGCTTTGGGAAGGGGATAGATACGGTGCGGCTGGATCACGTGAGCGCGTCCGCCGACATGGATTCATTGTGGAGCGTGGGGGTGACCGCGGAGAGGTTTTTTCCTCAAGGTATGTTGAGCTCCGAGGACCAGGGATTGATTGACAGGATCGGTCTCGAGGACAGTTTTGATGCTGCCCAGGTCATGCTGCAGAGGGTGATAGGCATAGTGAGTCACTGGAATCCCAAGTGGGGCCAGCAGCGAGAAGACTTGGCCAAGCAGCAGCAGGAGTTGGCTAAGCAGGAGCAGGAGCTGGCCAAGCAAGAGCAAGAGCTGGCTAAGGTGAGGGGCCGGCTTCAGCCATGGAAGGAGGCGAACGAGATCCTGAGGGAGGATAACAAGACTCTCTCCGTGGCCCTTGATGAGGCGAAGCGGCGGGAGTCTGAACTCCGGACTGCGCGTAGCGAATATTAAAATTTAATTTTATAAAACAGACTCATCAATATATTTAGAATTTCATCCGTACTAACCTATTCTCATCTGTATGGACCTTGTAACTAAGATTACATATTTCCAATTTGGAGTTTGGTATTTGGATGAAGATATTAAATGAAAATAGACATCCGTGGATTTTTCAATTAATTTGAAGTGTCTCCATCGTTAAGTTAATTAAGCCATGAGATTTTGCTAATTTGCTTTACACCAAATGGGGTTTGTCTATCGTTCTTCAAACAATGGGATTTGCAAGATCCTTCTAGATAATAGGTCAATAAAGGCTGTCATTATCCTCTCACTTCCTAAAATTTTTCAATGCACCTTTTCTTCTCAATATATCTAAATATAGAGTTTAAGTTTAATTTTATATGATGAATGAGAAAATATAATACTATTAAGTGATTATAAATTATGATTATTATTATTATTATTATTATTATTATTATTATTATGAATTTTAAAGTAATTATAAAATTTAAAGATATTATAGATAACAATTTGTAATTATATGATAATGTAAAAACGAAAAAAGTCATGCATTATATATAGAAATTAATTATTTAAAAATAATTTTTTTATGCATCGTTAGTGTAAAAGAATTTGATATTGCCAATTAAATGAATTAATTAAAAATTACCATGGATATCTTCATTTGCCACATGCCAACATTTTAATATTAATTATAAGTTTGTAAATATTAATTAAGAGAATTTTTAAAAATATATTTTATTAGATATAATTAAATAAAAATCTTAATATAATATTTTGAATTATATTAATAAATTGCTTCAGATTAATTCTTTTTTACTTGAATAATAACTTAAAAATATTAAAAATAAGAAGAAAAAATATTCTACTAATTAAAAATTGGACGGACTGAAATTTTCGAACTCGACCTTTGACAAGAGCGTTGAGGTTTATACTTGACCTCGTAATTTGCGAGTTGGTTCCGTTAAGGTTCGGACTCGACCTTTAAAGAAAGCGTCGGGGTTCGTACTCGACCTCGGATTTGACGTTTGATTAAGGTTCGAACTCGACCTTGTGGGGATATCGAGGTTTGCGTTCGACCTTGAATTTGCATGTTGGGGGTTCGTATACCCCTTCGGGTTTATATACTGGCTGATGGGGGTTCATGCGAATAATTGGGTTAAGGTTCGAACTCGACCATCAACGAGAATACCGGGGTTCGTTTTCGACCTCGGGTTTGTGTGGATAATTAGATTAAGGTTCGTATTTGATG